CGGCGGTTGAGGGGAGGGGGCTCTTGGTTGCTCGTCGCCCGCGGGGGGACGTGCCCGGTTTTATGTCCCCCCCGCCTCGCTGTACCTTTAACACTGCCAGGTAGACTACAAATACCGCGTTTTTCGTAGAATCGCCAGTTTTCAGGGGCAGCGCTGAAAAAAAAAAGTCCCGTCCAGACTTGTGGGGGTGGCAGGTGGGGGTGCGTCACGCCCCTGCCCCGGGGGGCACTGCCAGGTAGACTACAAATACCGCGTTTTCCGTAGAATCGCCAGTTTTCAGGGGCAGTGCTGTGTTTCCCGTCCAGACTTCTGGGGGTGGCAGGTGTGGGTGCTTCACGCCTCTGCCCGGGGTGTGTCAGCATCAAAGGTCACGGTTTGGAAGGGCGCTGGATCCGCGCCGTCCCTGGGTTAATGAACTCATTGCTTCTGCTGTTGGCAAAACACTGCTTCGCTTGCCGTTTCGGTTTGGTTTCAGTCTCCACTGGCCTGCCTCTAATCTTTTGAACATAAAGGAAAAAAATTTAAAAAAACTTTATTACTTTGTGTTGTTATCCCCAAAGAAAAATATATACTCATCACATGTAAATAATATCACTTACTTTGAATAAATGGGACTTTCCACGTGTCCCAGTGCAAGGTGCGTTCTTCGGCTCTTCAATACTTAATGAATATGAGCTGAATGTTTTTGCAGTTGCTTTTGCATCCTGCCATTTTTTTAGCACTCTTAAGAATACCAAGGCAAGGTGTGAAGGCAGGATTGTGCTCTTACTAGTGAGGTACTCGGTGGTTACCAATAGCGCATGAGCCAAGGACTGCCTGGGGTCCTTTTGGCTCAGCGCAGTGGCAACTCACACTGAGGTGCTCATATTTTCTCTTCTAAATCCCTTTAAAATCCTCTTTCAGGATTAAAGTTCTCTGTTTTGAAGGTGTGGTCTGTGTTTCTTGTTTCTAGATGATTACACATCACCTAAATCCTGGTTGCATCCATGATTACATAGATAAGTGTGACTATTTTGCTACCTATTGTTTTAATAGGGTTTCTTTGGATGGAGACCACCCCCAATGATTGTCAGGGTAGTGCTGATGAACCTCGGGCAATGCTGCAGGAGCCGTTTCTTTGGCAGCACCATTTGCTTAAGCAGGACCACAGCTGTTTCTGCCCCTGTTCCAGCCCCAGGACTCCCGTCCATGCGGCTGCCTGGTGAACTGAAAGGGGTTTCATAACGTGGCTTACGACGTGAAGCAACTGCCCAAGCTGGCTCTAGGCAGGATAATGTGCATATTATAAAGGGCTGGGCAAAACGAGACCAACCACTTCAGTGAGGAGGAAGCTTGGCCGCACTTTGCTCCATGCTGCCACTGCACATCCTGCCTTTTTTTGACTAGCAAATGATATATTCAAGGCTGGTCCCTTTTATCCATACGTGGTTCCTACATAAACAGTCACAGCTTCTCCCATAAACTCCTTATGAAATTCCCTCCTGTGCTTGCTCAGGGTTGTTTTACCACTGGTATATACTGCCTATATTAATAACTTTCCTGAGGGAAGAGATTAATATTTAGGGGCCTCTCACTTCTGGTCTAATCAGAAACCAACCCATTCATGGCACACGGCTCTCCCTGAGGACAACCAGACCTGTCAGATTGGACCTCTTTGGAGGCCATGATTCATCTACCACCTCTCATAGAGCAGTCATGCAACTCCTCAAAAGAACTAAAAGAAAAACACAGACAAAATTGGCAAATTTCCATATCCGCGGCATATTCTACATCCGTCTGAAACATTTCCTTTTGCCTTCTTTTTACAGTGGACTAGAGAAGAATTAATCTTAAATTGATTAATCTAAAAGACACACATCTCAGCTAAGCTAATTTTGTAGGCTCTTGATAGATAGGAGAGCTGATTCATCCCATTTGACTAAATGTGTCATTTTTAGGTAAGATAGATGAATCTACCTGTGATATGCCGACAGTGACTAACTCCAATTAGAACATTTTCACTTAGTATGTAAATGGTGCCATTCACCACATTTTGAGCTATATTTTTATTTTCAATAGGATGTGCAATAACTTTTAAAATTATTTTTCTTTCTGTACTTGGTATGAAAAGCCTCAAAGAAGAATTTATGATTATTGCTGTTTTGTTTGTTATTCTGGACCAGGTTCTATACCTAGCATGCAGCATCTGTTGGAGGGGTCCATTACATTTTGATAGTTTCCACACAGTGGTTTGATTTTAATGGAAGCCATTCTATTACTCTATTAAAAATACAAAAGTTTTGGAAATGTTTTCTGAAATATCAGAATAGTTTAATTTTAAAAATATACACATTCAGGATATTGTGGTGTTCTCGCTACAAGTGTCCTAGTTGTATCATTTATGGATGTACTGTGCTTTTAAATTTATTAATTTCTAACATTCGCCTTTGTGTTCACTTTTTTTAATGGATGGTATCCTAGAAACAGAACATCCAAGACGCTTAAAGTAACCAAAAAACCTCAAGTATTTCAAAGCACTAGGATAAATTTACATCAATTGGTAGAGTAGTATTCTGTTCATAATGGTATCTGGGATAATTGCTTAAATCTGACATTTTCAATTAGGGGGATATAGCCTGTCAGTATAGCTTGACATATGCAGAGGCTGGATAGTCGAAGTACTTAAAGCTTTGTGAACACAGAGCAGATATTCTACGTTTTAACACTAGATGGCAGGCCAAAATGGGAAAACATTTCTTTGTTTTCAAACGCACGGTATTGGAAAAGTTAATTTACAATTTGAATGAACGTACACTGAAAATTCTCACACTAACAACAGTGAACACTAACTAGACACAGATGCAAAATGTCATGTTCTTGATAGCATAGATACTTTCTGCAGCTTTTCATTTGGTACAGTTTCTGGCATACATATTGCTAATAATCAAATAGAACATTTCCTACACTATTTTTGTACTGCTTCTTGGTCTACTATTAATACTTGCCTCATATCAAAGAAGAATTAGAAATTGCTGAGGCCTTAAAAAGGCGTAAACAATTCAAAAATAAGAAAATTGTTCTGAGAAAACTGTTTTTATCAGGTAGTCTCACGGTTGTTTTTGCCATTAACAAAAGATTCAAAAAGGAGGTGATATAAGACTTCTATTGTTTATCATCTTTGTATTTTTATTTTTATTAAGATTTAGGCTGCTGTGAGCTTAAAGGGCTGAAAACTCTATCGTCGTTGACTTGCAAATAGTAATAGAGAAGTAATGCATTTGTAAAGGAGGCAGCTCAATTTGATAAAATAGGCATAAACTGTTATACCAAATATTGTGTAATCAATTCACATAGTAGCAGGCGAATACTTTGGGCTGTTGCCCCAATCTTTTCCCAGTTACATGTCGCAAAAGGGGAGTTTGGCACTTCCTGCAGAGGGAGGGTCAGAGTCCCTGCACGTGAGTCCACACTGTGGATTCAACAAACTGTGAATTGCTTGCAGCATTTGAGTCACTCCGTGCCCACCTGTTCCATGCAGCCTCCCAGTTACTGGAGTCATCACTAGTAGCAACTCAGTGCACTAAAGGGGTTCTGTAAAGGGCAGATTATTTTGTGCTGACACTTGGAGTCTTGCGGCACGCGCTGGAGGCCACCACTGGAGGGAAGGGAGCAGTTTCTCTCGTGCACAGCCAAGGTCCAAGGTGTATGTTGGTTCCAAACCAGCCCAGCTCTGCTGTAATGAAGAAAAGACCTACATT